CTGCTTCTGTCTCCTGAGTGCTGGGATGAATGCATGTACCACCATATCTGGCTCTAATTATTAGAATTCTATTAATCATCTTTCTTTATCTTGAGATGGAATCTTGCTATGGAGTCCAGGCTGTCCTCGGATTCACAGTCCTCCTTCCTGACCTGGATTTCCAAGTATCAGGATTACAAGCTTGCAGCTATGCCCAGCTTATCAACTTAAAAAAAAAAGACATATAATTTAAAAAACATTTTTGTAGAATGAATTTTTAAAATATATTGAATTTTCTCATTCTAATTGTATTGTGGTGTTCAGAGAAATTAATTAGAACTAAACTTAACATAAATAGACTTTTTTTTTTTGGTTTTTCAAGACAGTGTTTCTCTGTGTAGCCCTGGCTGTCCTGGAACTCACTCTGTAGATCAGGCTGGCCTCGAACTCAGAAATCTGCCTGCCTCTGCCTCCCAAGTGCTGGGATTAAAGGCATGCGCCACCACCACCCGGCATAAATGGACATTTTTAAATGTTGAGACTTGCTATTCAGAAACACTGTATCTCTCCATGTGAACAGCTTAACTCAGCACTGTGACACTTATTCATATAGCTCTAGCACATATCACATTCCAATTACTGCAAATATCTTATGTTTTTTATTTCTACTGGGAACTTACTCCTTATCTTCATTTCATTTCCTGACTGGTTATTTAACTAGGAAAGGCTTATTGATTTTTGTTTCGTTTTTGTTTTTGGTTTTTCGAGACAGGGTTTCTCTGTGTAGCCCTGGCTGTTCTGGAACTCACTCTGTAGACCAGGCTGGCCTCGAACTCAGAAATCCGCTTGCCTCTGCCTCCCAAATGCTGGGATTAAAGACGTGCGCCACCACTGCCTGGCTTGATTTTTGTATATGTAGCTATTGCAAAATTTATAAGCACGACACAGAAATTACCAAAAACCAAACCAACAACAAAATTCCCCCCCAAAACCCCAGTCATTTCTCTATAAACTAAGCCAGTTTGGCTTCCCAGTAGCCATCTCTGCTAAGGGAAAATCAATCTTGTAACCAGCTGGAACTCAACTGATAGTGTGTTTTACAAGACTCTCTTCACATCCCGTTGCATCTTCTGACACCTGGGATCGAGAGGCTTCTGTTCCAAGCGCCATGCTTGCTGCGTACCTGACCATTTTCAGGGCTGAGTAGTGCATGGGCCTCAACAAGCTATCAGAATGGTTTGCTCTGGTCTGAGCTTAGTCAGTCCACAGTTCCCTCTAGCTCACTCTATCAGTTTCAGGTCCTTTCCTGCCTCAGCCTCTCAGGGATCTAGTCTTGATTTCTGTAGCCCTATCCCATTCCAGGTGGGCCACTAAGTCCGAAGGGGATGCCAGATGTGACCTCAGGACCGCCTCTGTCTGTCTTATTTTTCCATATTCCTTCTTTTAGACCTGATATTTTTAATATTTGGAGGGAAATCTTGTTTATTATACATTCCTTGATCTAAGGTAAAACCTGGTTGAGACTTGGGAAGAATCTACAAGGAATGATGAGAACTAAAATACTTTAGGTTTATATTACCTGACTGGGTGCATCTATCTTGTCTGCTGTGGAGAATCCAAGTGTACAGGAAAGCCCCCACTCCACTGCCAACAAGGATTCACGTTTTTTGTCTGCGTGTGTTTGTGCAAATGCTGATGCTGGGGACAAGTGCTGTTCGTCTGCAGTTACTCTACTATGAGATGGGATTTCTCACTGGCCTGGAGCTCACCAAGTGATCTGGGCTAGCCGGCCCACGAGCCCCAGGGATCTTCCTGTTTCTGCTTCCCAGCATTGGGGTTAAGAATGAGCACAACCATCCCTGCTGTTTCATATGGCTCTGGGACTGAACTCAGTTCCTCATGTTCAGTCAGCAGAGCACGTTGCCATCTAAGGCCTTCACCCAGTCACGATTATCTGTTAACAAAGCAGAATTGAGGTTAAGAAATACTTTTGATGTGTGTAGAGTTGCTCAGTCACAAATGGGGCATCTCTATCACACTCCCTTCCCCTAAGGCTACGGATAATTGCAGGAGAGGAGAGGGGGCACAAAGATTTTAAGATCCAGAGATCAGGAGGACCAGAGTGAAAGTCTCTTCTAGAAATGCAGGGCCACGGCACCCATGAACTTACAGCAGCTGTGGCTGCTGTACAAGTCTAAGCTAGTCAACAAATACTCTAGCATGGGGCAGCAACTGGACCCCTGGCTGACGAGCTATTGACAGTTGATGGCTTCTGAGAGGAAGAGTCAGTTTCCTTTAAGAGAATAGTCCATGGTAGGTCAACCATGCTCCAGTAGATTGGTTCACATCCATGAGTGATACACGGGCAGCACAAGTTGGACTTGCTGGGAGAATTTGAATACATATGTTTACACACTTATGTATGTATGTATGTATGTATGTATGTGTGTACAAAAAGTGAAGAGGGTGAAGGGAGATGAGGGTGGACCTTCGACGAGTTAGGCAAAGAACTGTGGGGTGAATATGTCAAAATACATTGTATATGTGAAATTCTCAGAGTAAAATACCATATATTTAAGAAATACTTTTTAATATAGATTTCAGATTGGGCATTAAAGACAGAGGCTTAAGAAAAAGCTGTATTGTATACACTGGGATGGGCATGGACTTCTGAATAGAGTTGCTCACACTTGGTAATCTTTAGTTTTTGTATTTTTTGTTTGTTTGTTTTTCTTTTTTTTTTTTTCGAGACAGGGTTTCTCTGTGTTGCCCTGACTGTCCTGGAACTCACTCTGTAGACCAGGCTGGCCTCAAACTCAGAAATCTGCCTGCCTCTGCCTCCCAAGTGCTGGGATTAAAGGATGGCACCGTAGACTGGTCACAAGAACAGATACACACACAATCGGAGTGCACATGTGGAGGTCAGAGGACAACTTGTGGGAATTGGTTCTCTTCACCAGGGATGGAACCCAAGTTGTCATCAGGTGTGGTGGCAAGTACCTTTAGTCACTGAGCTATCTCACTAGCTCTAATGAACCCCATAGAAGATAAGTTGTCAGCTGGGCAGTGGTGGCGCACGCCTTTAATCCCAGCACTTGGGAGGCAGAGACAGGCAGATTTTTGAGTTCAAGGCCAGCCTGGTCTACAGAGTGAGTCCCAGGACAGCCAGGGCTACACAGAGAAACCTTGTCTCGAAAAACAAACAAACAAACAAAAAAGATAAAGAAAAGTTGTCTTTAACCATCTTATGAGCATTTTACTAGGTGTACTTCTTGGATGCTGGCAGTAGAGCTGACAGAAAAAGACAAGCTGGGAACTATCTTCCATTCATCTGTCTGGGGAGTAGGCTCTACAAGTCTCCCCATTATCCATGATCGTTGTCAGACACTGCAGTTGGGCAGAAAAGCAGGGGTCAGCCCCGAGGATTGCAGCTGTCATCTGTTGGGATGCTTGCATGGTTTCCTCTTCTTATTTCCACACCAGAACCACCACAACTTCCATTTTATTAACCCCACAAAAGACCTGGTGTCCCACTTGAGCCACAAGACGGTCACTTTGACAGTCTGATATTCAGTAGCTGAAAGTGACAAATTGAACTTTTTTAACATGAGATTAAGGGATGGAAAGACTTTAAAAGAGCAGTGTTTGGGGAAAGCGGACTTCTGATTCTTGTAGGGAAGCTTCTGCACGGGATGACTCAATAAACACTGTTAATTCCTGGAAGGAGCGTTCTTCACAGTAGACTAGTTTTCCTTAACCATGTGTGAATTTTCAAAGAGGAGATCGGGCACATCTACCCTGGAGGAACAAGAATCTGTAAAGCCTTATCTGGAAGGAAAGGCTTTTCTTTTCTTTCTCGCACTCAATTTGTTTGTTTTTCCACCAACTAAAAATGGTGATTTAATATGGGAATATACTTGTCTTCCAAATATCTAAGCTGTGTCCCACATGACTTATTTTAGAATTGCTAGGAAGTCTTCAGGACACACGGGAAAGTCCTAAGGGTAGAGACGGGAGCTGAAAATGGAGCCCTGAACACTTTGAGAAACATTTTTAACCGTCAAAAGCAATTGCAGCCGTTGTACATAGTTCTCGGTCCCCAAACACCTAGAGTCATTCACGAAACCACTTTACAGAGAAATCTGTTTTCCTACAAGTGATATACATTGAAGAAAATAAGAATCAAGGAATTCAAACAAATACCATTTCTTCACATTTTACGTAACAAAACATTTGACCTGCTTATTGGAAGAGTCAGTTTGCACATTTGACTGTAATTCAGTAACTAGCATGCTAGCTAACCGCAATACCCCCGCTAAGGCTCGGCGTCCACTGTGGCAGGCTGATGGAGATAGAAGTACGCAGGTCCGCTTCAGTTCCGAATCCGGCCTTCCTTCTGCCGTGGTGCCCCACCAAACACGGAGACCTCTTCCAGAGGAAGCGCCTAGGGAATACCCAGAAGCCCTCGCGGCCACAGAGCCGCGAGCAGCCGCAGAGCGAGGTCACCCGGCGCTTGCCAAAACCTTGGCCCGGCGCCGTGGGCGTGGCTTGAGGGGCGTAGCCGTGGCCCTCCGCCAATCATCGCCCGGCAGGTCGCAAAAACGCGGGACCACGCCCCTGCGGTTGGTACGGACTCTCCAACCCGGAGGACTCCGGGCGATGGGGCCTCAGAGCATCAGGAAGCAGACGCTGTTACAGGGCTGGAGGAAGCGGATGACAGGAGGGGACACGTTCCTGCTATCACTTCCGGAAACCCACAACCAAAGCGCGGCTCTTTGCGCCGCACAGCCCGACGGGAAGGCAGCTTTCCTGTGTAAAAAACGCTGCGAAGCGGCGTCACCCCCGCCGCGGGGCACGCCGGGAGAACAGAGAGCTCCGTCCAGCATTCCGGAAGTGTTTCTTGCCCCTGTCTGTGCTAAGCCCCGCCCTGTGCCGGAAGGAGGGTAGTGTGAGGAGTGGCGCGAACGCCGGTCACGTGCCATCACTGCGGAAGGAGCCGGAGGGGCGGGTTAGCAGGGGCGGGGCGACGGGGTCACGAGTGGCCGGAAGTTGCGGCCTTTGCGGATAGTCCGAGATGGGGACCACTCTGGACATCAAGATTAAAAGAGCGAATAAAGTGTATCACGCCGGGGTAAGTGGAGGGGTGTCGGGCTTCAAGCTCCGTGGTCTCCAGCACGGCGCGCGGCCCTGACGCTGGATGGGCGTGCCCTGCGGTCCTGTCCTGTGTGGGGCTGGGGGCCGTCGGCAGGCGGGCGGCAGGACCCGAGTTCTCGCTCTCCAGGGTGAAGAGCTGGTGACAGACGCCCCTTTCTGCAGAAGAGCTTTCAGAACAGACATGTGTGCTCCGCGCGCTGGTCACTTCTAATGCAAAGTTCTAAGCTTTTCGCCACAGCAGGATCCATTACTCTAGTTTTAGAATGGGATCGTCGTAGCTCTCCCCCGGAGACAACAGCGATTGTAGCGTACAGTTGCTGTGGAGTCACAGCTAGCTTCTGCACAACACAGTTCAGTGAATCCAAATGCAGTGCGGTGTCGAAAAGAAAAAACATCCCAGGTGAACATCTTAAATGGATGCTGAAAACCAGAAACCTGATATTTAAAAAGATTCCAGTGAGCCACCCCACTTCCATCCTCACAGTAAGAAGCTACATTCGTGATATGTCTAGCAGTCACCACTCAAAGACCCCTCCCCCCAAAAAAACCAGAAACCCAAACACCAAGTTGCCATCACTCCTTATAAAAGGGACTTTACTCTGTGGCAAGATGCACAGAGGAAGAGGAGACTTATGCTAGATCACTGCGACAATGTTTAGTCAGTTCATAAAGGAAACCATCTATCTTGCCTCAGTTGAGGGACACTGTCAAACCACTGCCATATTAAAGATGTCAGTATTATGAAAATCAGTTGGGGGCTGGGGAAATAGCTCAGATAGTAAAATAGTCACCAGCATGCACAAAGCCCAGGGTTCAGTCCCTGGCACTGTATAAAACCAGATGTGGTGGTGGGTGCCTGTAATCTTACCACTTAAGATAGGATCAGAAGTTTATGATCATCCTTAGCTGCACATTGAGTTTGTTACAAGCCCAGGAGCCATAAGATAAGGGCTGGAGGGATGGATCTGCTATCAAGATCTGGTTCTGCTCTTCGGAGGATCCAGCTTGTGTTCCCAGCACCCACGGCAGGCCACTCACAACTACCTGTACCTCTAGGGAGTCTCACTCCTCTGGTCTCTGACTAGACTGCACTCACAGACACAGTATATAACATAGCTTAAAATAGTTTTTCAATAAAATTGTTTAAGATGAAAAGACACTAAAGGCTCGGACCAGAACACAATGCACAGCTTTTGTCCAACAACACTTTTGTGTCAGTGTTGAATTTACCAAGTGTGTTTTAGTCACAAGGGAGCCCCTTCCATACGCTGAACTTTGCCATAGTAACCTCAGAAGGTTTCACCATAAAATGTGGGTGAGTATAAATTTCTACCTGTGTATACAGAACAAAAGTAAATGTAGCCGGGCGGTGGTGCCCCATGCCTTTAATCCCAGCACTCGGGAGGCAGAGGCAGGCAGATTTCTGAGTTTGAGGCCAGCCTGGTCTACAGAGTGAGTTCCAGGACAGCCAGGGCTACACAGAGAAACCCTGTCTCGAAAAACCTAAAAAAAAAGTAAATGTAGCAAAACTTTAACAGTTCTGAGTCCAGGTGAAAGCTACATGACTATTTTTTCTTGGTTAATAGCTTTGTAAAGATATAAGTTTATATATATACACAGCTATTAAAGATACAATTTGGATACAGCAAAAGCCAGCCCTTTATAACATCTAATCAAGAGGCTTTAGTGTATTTATTGTGCTGTGCATCCATCCTCACTAAGTTTAGAACCTTTTCACCAACTCCAAAAGAAACCCCATACTTGATAGCTGTTATTCCTCCTTCCCTGCCCACAGCCCCACATGAGTTTTGGGATTTTTTTTTGTTTTGTTTTTTTGATAGGGTATCTCTGTATAGCTCTGAACCAGGCTGTCCTGAAACTCACAGAGATCTACTGCCTATGCTTCCTGAGTGCTGGGACCTGTATGGTTTTTTTTTTTTTTTTTAAACACAAGTTACTTAGAAATGTCTAATTTCCTCCTAATATAATTTCTAATTTTAATATTTTAAATTTTAGGAAAATTTTTATGAGCAGAATTACAATACAGGATTTAAGGATGTGAGATTTTAAGAGCATTAGAAATAATAGAAAAAGAACAAAATGGGAATGTTTATGATAATTTAGTCATAGCCAATAGCTATAAATATACTGTATATTTTATATTACTGTAATAACTCTATTATCATAAGTCTTCTCTGTGAACCTATCCATTCAAAATATTTTTAAAAGTATTGATATGCATATGTACATGTGGAAGCAGAAAACATTGTGCAGGAGGATCTCTCTTCTACTGTGGGGATCCCAGGAATGGAATGCAGGTCTGAATCAACAGTCCCTCTTATGTATTTATTTATAACATTTGTATCCACTAGCTGGTACTTGACTTTCAAACTGTTCAGTGACTTTATAGGCATTAATTCAACAGGGGTAACATGTAGGTACAATATGGAATTAATATGTATGAATAATATTCTAGATACTAGTCATCCTTAAGAGGATGGCTAACTATGGGGGTAGAGATTTTAGGGTTCCTGTAAATAAGATTTTCTTTGTAATTCATGAACAGAGAATATTAGAAAAATTTGTCAATTTCTTGGGGTCTTCATCCCAGGACACATGGCCACCACAGCCATGTTATTAGGCTACCTTCTTCCTAAAAGTCTTCCCAAGGTTAAAAACTTGACTTCTAATTCCATATTTCCAGCAACATTCTTAACTTCCTTTGGGAATATATAACTAGTACTTTCATAATAGCATGTGGTAGTGTCCCCCGCCTCATGCATGCCTTTATGCTTTTATCTTTACAACTACGAGGTGATGCTGAGAGAAGACAGAGCTAGGGAAGTCAACAACATGGCAAGACATGAATATTTGAACTTGCTTTCTTCTCTCTATTATATTTAGTTAGTTATATGTATGTGTCTGTGTACGTGAGACACACACACAGAAGGACAGATAAGAAGTCAGTCCATTCTTTTCCTTCTACCATGTGTGTCCTGGGGATTGAATTTGGATAGCACTTGGTGGCAGGTACTTCTCTGTGTTTTTGAGATAGGATCTCACTTTATCTGTCATTCAAGTTGGTCTGGAATTCACTGTAGCTGAGACTAGCCTTGAACTTGCAGCAGTCCTCCTATAGTTGCATCTTGAATGTTGGGATTGTAGTCAGGAGTCACTATCCTTTTGTTCCCAAGTCCAGAACTCTGGGTCTTAATTGTTATCTATAGGGTGGAAACAGTACCTACTCAAATGCTTTATTTTCAGAATTGAGAGACAGTAGTACAAACTCAACATAAACTTGACCCACAGTAGAGACTCTGATAGATGCTAAGTGGTCATGTTGTTGTATTGACCCTACACCCCATAGTTGGTTCACTCTCAGAACTGTTCTGCCATGATGTGAATACAGCAGCATACTCCACAGATGGCATCCCAGGTACTTGCTTAAGCATTACACCATTGTCAGATGCCTGTGCACTGTGGACAGGAAGGCCAAGGGTCAGTCAGCATCCATGGGGGATACAGGTTCCAGCACTTTCAAACCCCAAGGCTAAGTGAGATTTTGGTGTTACTCTGTGTGGTGCAGTAACATGCACATGAATAAAAGTGTGTGTACTTACTGGCTAGAAGATCCCTGCAGTAAATCTTTCTATAATATAAATATAATGCTTTTGTTTTTATGAATTCAGGATGCTTTATTCATAAATCTGAAGTATGTTCTCGTGAAAGTGACACCATTGAATATTAGGGTTGTGAAATATAACAGATATAAACTAGTATAACTAGGTTATTATGACAAGGGACTTTTGTGCCATGGGGTGGTTACTGTTACCTACCCACCCACCCTAAAAACCCTCAGAGCTTTCTGTACATTTTGTCTTACATGGTGTGAATGTAACTTCTTCAAAAATAAAGTGGAGAAACCTTATACACAATAGCTCACTATAATAAGCCGGGTGGTGGTGGCGCACGCCTTTAATCCCAGCACTTGGGAGGCATAGGCAAGCGGATTTCTGAGTTCGAAGCCAGCCTGGTCTACAGAGTGAGTTCCAGGACAGCCAGGGCTATACAGAGAAACCCTGTCTTGAAAAACAAAACAAAACAAAAAAATAGCTCACTATTTATAAGGGAAAGTTACAAAACTGATGCTATTTAAAAATGAAAGCATAGGGCTGGAGAGGTGGCTCAAAGGTTCAGAGCACTGCCTGCTCTTGCAGAGGATCCTGGTTTGATTCCCAACATCTACTTGGTGGCTCACAACCAGCTCAGTCCCAGTTCCATGGACTCCCGTGCCTTCTTCTGACCTCCAAGGCATCAGGCATGCACATGGTGCACAGGCGTATATGCAGGTAAAACAGCCATACACAGGAAATAAATAAAATCTTTAAAAAGAAAGAAAGCCTAACTATTCTATATGATTGTGGTGTTTGAATGAGAATGGCCCCCATAGGCTCATATATTTGAGTGCTTTTTACCTTGTTGGTGTGTTACAAGATATTTGAACCTGTTTTTACTTAAGAGTGTGGCTCTGCCTTTAGCACACACCTTTAATCCCTCTGGCTGGAATACAGGCATGCCCGTAATACACACCTTTAATCTCCAACAATGAAGGTAAAGTAAGGTTGTATAAGGAAGCACCTATGTTTGAAAGTGATGCCTAATTGAGTGGCAGACAAAGTGACAAAACAGAGATAGATTTGACAGAATAGGATATGCTTAATTCAGGAGATGAGAGAGGAAAGCAAAGCTGCTTAGGGAGAGACAGACAGTACAGGAAGAAGAGAGTACAGTACAGGATACAGTAGAGTTGAATGTAAAGCAGCACAGAGAGGGAGAAGGTGGTTTTACTATGAGAGTTTTCTAGAGACAGGTTGTAGACACAACAAGCTAGATACAGGTGAAGACAGAATGAGAAAGAGAATCAGGAGACAGAAGACTAGTACAGACTGCTAGAGTTAGTATGAGGCCAAGCACAGA